TGCCTCGGTGTTGCGTGTCCACCACGCTGGCAAGCTACCTGGCCTGTCTTTCCAGTGGGCCGCAAGTCTGCCTGCCCTGCTTGCTCAGATGGCAGCTCTGCACAGCCCCTACTCCAAATGAGGTTGTGCCTCCCAGGGGAGCCCTGATGGCGGAGGCTAACTACCGGTTCGGGCGGGGCTGGCTAAACCGCTCGGGTGTCAGCCGCTTGCAAAAGAGGCCGCTGGTTTCAGGACTCGACTTCTGCACCCGCCGCGGGGCCACCCGTGGAGCCAGGTAGCTGTGGTCGCGTGGTTAGGAACCGGCCGCGTGGTTAGGAGCCGGGCGGGTGAGGCTGCTGCTCCCAGAGCGAGCTCTGTGCCTCCCAGGGAAGACCTGGCCATATTTTTGAAAAAAGAAAATACATGAGTTCTTACTTAAATTTTTAAATGGTATTTAATATTATAGCATTTCACTTAGCCTTCTTGATTTTTTGTTGTATGTCTTTTTTTTTAGTTGTAGAGGGACACAATACCTTTATTTTATTTGTTTTATTTGGTGCCTGGGATCAAACCCAGTGCCTCAAGCATGCTAGGCAAGCTCTCTACCACTGAGCCACAACCCCAGCCCCTTGTTGTATATGTTTTACTGTCTTATAACCTTAATATACTGAATAATTTATTTCATCCTAAAATATGTATTTATAATAGTTTCAGAATATAGTAATATCAACATTATCAGATAATATGATTTCTGAAAACAATTTCTTTTTCATGATGGGGATTGAGCCCAGGACCTCATACTGGTTAAGCAAATACTTTACAACTGATCTACACACTTAGACCTAGATTTTTCATATTTCTTTTATTCTCAGAATATATTCCATTAGTCAAACTTTGATTTTTTAAAAATAAATGTTGGTATTTATTTATTTATTTAATTTATATGTGGTGCTGAGAATCGAACCCAGTGCCTCATACATGCCAGGCAAATGCACTATTGCTGAGCCACAGTCCCAGCCCAAAATGTGATTTTATTTTATTTTTAAAAAATATTTGGTATTTAAAAAATGTCTTTATTGTTTGTTTATTTATTTTTATGTGGTGCTGAGGATCGAACCCAGGCCTCACATGTGTGAGGCAAGTGCTCTGCCACTGAGCCACAACCCCAGCATATGGTTTTAATATTCTTAAAATACTGCTTTTAAATTACTTGACCAGGAGGCTGAGGCAGAAGTCTTTCCACCTGAGATCAGGAGTTTGAGGCTGTTCAGGGCAACATATTGAGATCCCCAGCTCAAAAAACAAAAAAGAAGTTACTTGAAGTAATTCTTGCTTTATGATTGTGCTTTCAACTTGATAAATAATTAGGTCAATTTCTTTTGATTTACTTTTGATTTTTACTGATTTTTTCCAGTTTGAATAAATTTTGTTTTATAATTTTGAAAGATTAATATGCTTCCAAAGACAAATCTACTTAATAAAGTATATTTAAATAAGTCTAGCTTATTTCTGCCTGGCATACATGAGGCTCTGGGTTCAATCCCCAGCACTGCAAAGAAAAAATAATATTAATAATATATACCTATTTGATTATATTTTAAAATTATAAACAATAAAATGTGTTTACTCTTTCTTCTTGTAGATAATCATTTTATTTTATTGCTTATGATTTTAAATATAATCAAACAGGTATATATTATTAATATTATTTTTTCTTTGCAGTGTTGGGGATTGAACCCAGAGCCTCATGTATGCCAGGCAGAAAGCTCTAGCAGTGACCCAGAGCTCCAGTCCCAGTGCATAACTTGTATCTTCCCCACCTCCAGTTTCTTAGATAAATTGTAGCATTCATGTGTATTCTTGTCCATTTTTCCCCCCACTTGACAATTGAATGTTACTTCCTAGGATCACCCTGCAGCAGTATATAGATATTTCTGATTTTCTTTTGCAGTATTAGGGATTGAACCCATGGGTCCTCTACCACAGAGATATATCCACAGTCCTTTAATTTTTTTTTTATTTTAAATTTTGAAACAAGGTATCAGTAAGTTGGAGAGGCTGGCCTTGAACTTGACATCCTCCTGCCTCAAACTCCTGAGTCTCTGGGATTTATGGTAGAAGGGATGACTGTAGTATATGCTCTGTCCTCCATCTTGATCCAGCCCTTCTTTGCTTCCACAGCATTTTTGTATATTACTTATCAACTATTTACTTAAATATCTATCAATTATAGTACTGTTAGCTTTTCCAGGGTGCCTGGCATGTAAAGGATACTTAGTATTAATGTTGGATTAGTCAAAATTGTATTAGGGATAAAATTAAAAACTAGAACCCAGGGGTGTTGAACCATAGTCTAATGCTTATTATATAATTATATCAATTATGCATGCATCAAGTTTTCAAAGCTTTCTTTTCCTGTATAAATTATCCCAATATTTTAGTAGATATGTTATCAGGACTATTAATTTTTTGTTATTATTGCTTTTCTTAAGTTTATTTCTTTTAAATTGTGGCATTCAAAGCAGAACACACAACTCTAATAAGTACTGATTTTTTTCCTTTCGTGGGTTATGTGACTATATATTGACAGGATTAATTATTTTCTCCAGTACTCTCCAGCCAGATTGAAGGAGGTGTGAAGTTTTAAAAACTATTTTCTAACTTCTCTCTTCTAGATGAATATGAGAACAGGAAAAGGGTGGGTGGATGTTGGAAATGCTTTGATCGCTGATGAATTTTTTCAAGCTGCCATGGCTGTAAGTTACCATTGATATTTTGCTGCGGCAATTATTAGTAACATCTCTTTGTTAGTTTCATCATTACATTGTGGTATTGTTTTATTTTCCAGGGTCTGGAGCAATTATATGTCAAATTAGTGCAGAGGAGCTACTCTGAGGACCACTTAATCATGCAGAAGACTGCTGTGGAGAATGACCTCTTCAAAGTGCTTTCTTACCAAGCAGAATCAGTAGGTGTCATAGGCACCAGGGCTTTATGGTGGGGTATTTTGTATATGTAAATGCAAAAGTGATGAGATGTAATATGTTAAAAGAAAGTCAGGTGTCACTGGCCTTTTATAGGATGTTATATTTGACCTTTTTCTCTCTGTCTTATATCTGACGGTGATATTACTCATCGTGATTGAAATATGTGTGGGGGTGGATGAAGGCGAAAAGACTGATATGTAGCTAAACATCATTTTCAACCACTGCAAGTCACACCTGCCATTTATTTGTGGCAGCATCCTTGACCTGAAACACCTGTTTCTGTTTGTGACTCTCTTACATTTATAGTCTGCCTGAAAAGAGTCTTCTTATTTGCAGTTGTTCTGGGTTGTTTGTTGATGTTTTTAAAAATCTGCTGCTATCACACGATCTTCAAAGTTGCATTTTACCTCTGTTTGCCTTCTGGGTTTCCTCCTTTTGTCATCATGGAGTTAGTTGTGCATTTTCAGTTGACAAAATGTAAGTCATGAGGCGTTTGCTTTCTGTATATAAATCTGGACCTAAAAAAGGCTTTAGAAATCATCTAGTCTTGTAGCATTTTTTTCAGTGTATGAAAATGCTTGATATGTAAATCTTATCATCTTTGGCTACCTGAAACTTTGAGTAGTTATGATTAATATTGAGAACTATATAATTCTTAACTTTAGAAGATGACATCATTAAAAGTAGGAGTGGAAGCTTTTTTTATTTGTTCTTTTTAGTTATACATGAGAGTAGAATGTATTTTGCCATATTCATACAAACATGAAGAATTTCTTATTCTAATTAGGATCCCAGTCTTATGGATGTACATGATGTGGAGATTCAACTGTGGTGTATTCATATATGTATGTAGGGAAGTGTTATTGGATTCATTCTACTGTTTTTCCTATTCTTTTATTTTATTTTATTTTTTAGTTGTAGTTGGACACAATACCTTTATTTTATTTATTTATTTTTATGTGATGCTGAGTATCGAATTCAGGACCTTGCATGTGCTAGATGAACCCCCTACCACTGAGCCACAAACCCAGCCCTATTTTTCCTATTCTTATTTCCCCTCCCTTCCCTTCATTCCTCTTTGTCTAAATGGCTGAACTTCTATTCTTCCCCCTCCTCCTCTTGTGGTGTGTTAGCATCCACATATCAGAGAGAACGTTAGACCTTCAGTTTTTTGGAATTAGCTTATTTCACCTAGCATGATAGTCTCCAGCTCCATCCATTTACCAGCAAATGTCATAGTCATTTCTTTTTATGGCTGAGTAATATTCCATCGTGTATATACACACCACATTTTCTTTTTCCATTCATCTGTTGAATGGCACCTAGGTTGGTTCCATAGCTTAGCTATTGTGAATTGGAATGTTATAAACATTGATGTGGCTGTGTCACTGTAGTATTCTGATTTTAACTCCCTTAGATATATACCTAGGAGTGATACAACCAGGTCAAATGGTGATTCCATTCCTAATTTTTTGAGGAATCTCCATACTGTTTTTCAGAGTAGTTGCACCAATTTTTAGTTCTACCAGCAATGTATGAGTGAACCTTTTGCCCCACATCCTTGCCAACATTTGTTATTGCTTGTATTCTTTTTTTAAATATGTTTTTAGTTGTAAATGGACATAATACCTTTATTTTATTTTTATGTGATGTTGAGGATCAAACCCAGTGCCTTTCACATGGCGAGGTGAGCACTCTACCACTGAGCTACAACCCCAGCCATGTTATTGCTTGTATTCTTTTTTTTTGTATTCCTGCAAATTCTGACTGGAGTGAGATGAAATATCAGTGTAGTTTTAATTTGCATTTCTCTAATGGCTAAAGATGTTGAACATTTTTTCATATATTTGCTGACAATTCATATTTCTTCTGTGAAGTGCCTGTTCAATTTCTTTGCCCATTTATTGATTGGGCATATAATCTATCCTAAGGTTTAATGTTCTATCTGAGCTGCAGGTGGCAAAGATTTTCACATTCTTGATTGTTTCCTTTGCTTTGAAGAAGCTTTTTAGTTTGATACCATCCCATTTATTGATTCTTGATTTTATTTCTTGTGATTTAGGAGTCTTATTGAGGAAGTAATTTCCTAAGCCAACATGTTAGAGTAGTGAGCCTACATTTGCTCCTAGTAGGTGCAAGGTTTCTGGTCTAATGCTGAGGTCTTTGCTCCACTTTTAGTTGAGTTTTGTGCAGGGTGAGATAGGGATTCAGTTTCATTCTGCTATATATGGATTTTTAGTTTTCCTGGCACCATTTGTTGAAGAGCTATCTTTTCTCCAATGCATGTTTATGCCACCTTTTTTTAGTATGAGATAACTGTATTTATGTGGGTTTGTCTCTGTGTCTTTTACTCTGTTCATTGGTGTCCATGTCTGTTTTGGTGCCAATACCATGCCATTTTTGTTACTATAGCTCTGTAGTAGAGTTTATGCCTCCTGCTCCACTTTTCTTGCTGAGGATTGCTTTAACTATCCTGGGCCTTTTGTTTTTCCAAATGAATTTCATGACTACTTTTTCTATTTCTATGAAGAATGTCATTAGAATTTTAAAAGGAACTGCATTAAATCTGTATAGTGCTTTTGACCACATTAATTCTGCCTGTCCAATAAAATGGGGGAATCTTTCCATCTTCTAAGGTCTTCTTCAATATCTTTCTTTAATGTTCTGTAGTTTTCATTGCAGAGGTCTTTCGCCTCTTTTTTTTTTTTAGGATAATTCCCAAGTATTTTTTTTATGAAGCTATTGTGAATGGGATAGTCCTCCTAATTTTCAGCCGACTCATCATTGGTATACAGGAATGCAATTGATTTATGAGTGTTAATTTTATATCCTGCTACTTTGCTGAATTCATTTATGAGTTCTGGAAGTTTTCTGGTTGAATTCTGGATTTTCTAAATGTAGGTTCATGTCATGGGCAAATGGGGAGAGTTTGAGTTTTTCTTTTCCTATTCATATCCCCTTAATTTCTTTCTTTTGCCTAATTGCTCTGCCTAGAGTTTCAAGGACTATGTTGAATAGAAATGATAAAAGAGGGCATTCCTGTATTATTCCAGTTTTTAGAAGGAATGTTTTCAGTTTTTCTCCGTTTAGAATGATGTTGGCCTTGGGTTTAACATATATAGCTTTTTTAGTGTTGAGGACTGTTCCTATTATCCCTAGTTTTTCTAGTGTTTTGAACACGAATGAATGCTAAATTTTGTCAAATGCTTTTTCTGCGTCTATTGAGATAATCATGTAATTCTTGTCTTTAAGTCTATTGATGTGGTGGATTATATTTATTGATTTCCATATATTGAACTAATCTTGCATCCCTGGAATGAAACCTGCTTGATCATAGTGCACTATCTTTTTAATGTGTTTTTATATGCAATTCGGAGGTTAATTCTTTTTGTTGTAAGTTGATTTCCACCTGTATGACATTTTTATTATTAGAACTGTAGATTTTATTGATGACTGTTTGGCAGAAGATATCTCTAAAAATCTTTGTTAACAGTGTTGTTTGCTAATGAGTTTTCTGTCATAGCAAACCTTCTGAGATATTTCTTTTTTACATATTTTTAGTTGTTGATGGACCATTATTTTACTCATTTATTTTTATGTGGTGCTGAGAATCGAACCCAGTGCCTCACACATGCTAGGCAAGTGCTTTACCATTGAGCCACAACCCCAGCCCCTGAGATATTTCTTTTCTTTTCTTTTCTTTTTTTTTTTTTTTTGAGAGAGAGAGAATTTTTTTAAATATTTATTTTTTAGTTTTCGGCGGACACAACATCTTTGTTTGTATGTGGTGCTGAGGATCGAACCCGGGCCACACGCATGCCAGGCGAGCGCGCTACTGCTTGAGCCACATCCCCAGCCCCCCTGAGATATTTCTTAAAGATAATGTAGGATTTATTGTTCTCTAGGCACTTGCCATTGAACCAATTAGTTAATTACTTATCATTTGTTCTATTACTCAACAGAAAAGGAGTATTTGCTTTGAACAGAGTATTGTGCTAGGCTTTGTGGGGGAATGCAAATAAGCATATATCCTGCTCTCAAGGAGATTATAATTTAGTTGGTGAGATAAAAGGTATGTATACAAGATAGAATTAAGTGAACTATTGTAGAATGAATCTGACATAACTTTCCTATGTTCATATGTGGATACACCACCAATGAAACTCCACATTATGTACAACCACAAGAATGGGATCTAATTAGAATAAGTTATACTCTGTGTATGTATAACATGTCAAAATGCACTGTACTGTCATGTATCTCTAAAAATAACAAAAAATTGTAAAAAGATAGGATTAAGTACCATGAGAGTAGTGCATATTAATGATCTGCATGCAGTGTGCAGTTCTGAATATGAGTAGAAGTATAAGGTGCTGTCACTTTCCTCCAGAAAATTAAAGGTGGGCAAGGTGGCATGCACTTGTAGTCCCAGCTACTTAGAAGGAAGCTGAAGCAGGAGAATCGCTTATGTCCAGGAGTTTGAAGCAAGATAATATGACCCCTTCTCAAAAACAAATATGTGTTTGGGTATATATATTATATATATATATATATATATATATATATATATATATATAAAATTTGGAAGTTAGGCTATGAACACATTTTTAAATGGAAAAAGGAAAATATTAAGTGACAAATGAGTGTCATAGATCAGGTGAGAAACATGCTGTTTAATGTGGTCACATGACCTTCATAATAATTGCTGAAATTCACTTTTTCTCTCTCCTTATATCTACCTGCAAAATATTCATTTCTGTTTACCTTTGTGCCACAGATTATCCATTTATATTCTTTTATTATTATTTGTTTTTGGTACTGGGGTTTGAGCCCAGGACCTCATGCATGCTAAACATTGGCTTTATCACTAAGCTGCATTCTCAGCCCTGTATAATCTTTTAGCATTTTAGAAAAAAAACATATATCTTCATATTTCTCCTAATTTGCCATTTTCCTTGTCTATTGGCAGTACCTTTTTCTG